TTGTTAAATTACCTACTTTTAACGGGATAGATTTAGTTTTCCGTTTTCATCTTTTTTGATTTATTGCATGGAATTGAGTATTAAAACAGCTAAAAATCGCTAATTATTTGGTAGCGAAAGGATATATGTTGACCAGCCATTTCCTCCATTCAACCTCATATCAAGAATAATATGCTTTTAACAATAATTCAATAATAAATAATATTTATTGCGTTATGTTTTAAGCACGATAGAGTAGTATTGGTATTTTTTCGTAATATTTCATTATATAAAATAAGTATTAATACAACGCATCATGTTTGATATGTTTTTGTTCCGAATCTTCGTGAAATTAAATATTATGTGGGAGACTCAGCGTTGAAAATTTATTATGGTCTCATTCTTATGATAGAAATAAATTTTATCTTCGGAAAAATGTTGAGTCTTCAAGCCGAAGGATCTCAAATTTACAAACGTAAATTTTGAGTTAAATAAAGAACAAAGTTGGTAACTAAGAAGATGATGTTTATATTTACATATTAATAAAAACTCATTACAATTTTATATATTTTATTCACCAATACAGTGATGAGAAAATAGGACATAAATAATGATCTAAGGTATCTACGTGGTCACCTAGAGTAAACAGTAACTCACATTTTTGATGGCTACTTTATGCTTCCTTCTCTGCTATGATTGCTGTTGAAAATTCTGTTTAAATACATAACATCATTAATATTTTTAAACATTATATTTATGTATATAACTAGTCATTCAAATTTGTCATTCTTGCATGTATATTCCCATACCAAAAATAATTCACAATACAACATACAACATGATATTTCATATAATTGGGGATCATTCCAGAACGCTTGAAATTCATTTTAATTTTATTGTAATCTTAAATATATTCTCTAATAAGCCTAACTATATAAATCAATGGATAAATTTACTGAGAGATTAAAGCAAATTATTTCGAAATGTGTTATTATGTTGAGTAGTGTATCACAGCATAAGATTCAAATTTTATGTGATATCCATTTTGAAATCTCTAAAGCATGTACTCTTAAAAACCATGTTTTAATTAAATTGAAAGTTACAATTTTTAGATTAAAAATCTAAAAGTCCTGTAGAAAACTGTGTTTATGATGAAATTAATTTTTAAATGAAAACTATTTTCTCTTATCTTAAAGATATTGATTGAGGTTTCCTACTATGTATGTAACATAATCAATCGTTTCCTTATAAAACATTTAAAAGACAGACACACCTTTAACAAATTTCAAATGAAAGACAAGCAAGAAAATTTAAATCCAAATTATAATAAATGACATTTTTCATGTCATCTATGATATCTAAAATTTATTCAATTAATTATGTGTTTGGCGTATCTCATGTACAAGTGAGCGCAGTTGTAGTTGTAAATAAATATTTCGACTGTAAAGATTTGCAATAGTGCAACGCAGCTCAGTGGGTTTAAATTTCTATTTCTTTGTTATGAAAAATTCAAACTAAGAAAAAATGCATACATAAAGAAAGAAGAGAAAAAATAAAAACAAAAATCATTTTGAAATTAAAAAGGTGGTGTTTTGTTACACTACTTAAAGATACTTGCACTGTGTAGATACAATGTCTATGACTACCTGGAATCATAAAATGCTTGTGCAAACATAATAAACTAAATTAAAAACAAAATGAAAAAAATAAACGAAAAGTGCATATTGCATATAGATACTAGACAAGATTTCACATACATAAAATTCTGTACAAATTTAATTTATTTGAATAATGTATAAAAATATAGTTCAATGGATGCGGCACTCAAATGCTAAGACACCGGAAAAAGGGCGAATAATAACTGCTGCTAATGCCTTTGCTTATCCTAACATAATAAACAGTAAAAATATCGTAAATTGTAAACTATAAAATGAAAAACGAAAATTATATTACAGATACATTTGTTAAATGCATTGCATTGTGAGATGTTTTAGCAAAGTTGTGCAAATGTGGCAGCAGCTGTTCTAAAACAAACCACACAAGCAAAGATACTTTACACGAGCAACGCTGCGCACCAATCATCCGTACAAATACTTGCACATAAAACTGCTTTATAATTTGTAAAAAATCGTAAATTCATTTTGATATTCGAAGTTAGATACAATAAGAATATGTATTTCTTTTGTATTCAAGGCACAAATCATCTTTAAGATGAGTTTACTCATCTATGTACATATATACTAGTATTCGTATAAAATGAAAATAATATTATATGTACATATATAAGATGTTTTTAGAATTATTATTTGAGATTAAGATATATATCTGTATTTGCATACTTATACGAGTAAATATAGTAGTGTATTTGAAGTGAAGTACAATTTCGCAATACGAGTAAGCATAGATAATTGTGAAAATTTGCTATTTTCAGTATGAAAATCGCTGGGGATATATTTGTTATACACTAAAATAAAAAATGATATATTTTAATATTTTAAAACAATATTAAAAAATTTTACTTAAAGTAAATTTGAGACTGTATTGTAACTCATTCTATTATAGAACAAGTGTTCAACAAATTTATGTTAGACACATAACCAGAATAAATAAATTATAAATTTATTAATTAAAAACTTTACACTTTTAATAATAAATGGAATTGAAATATAATACAGATTAATTAACAAACGATGATCAGTAACCATTGGCATCCGATTTGTCACAGGGTTTCTCACATGGCGTTGCGGAGTTAAAAACCATCTATCGAACCTAGGTATTCCTAGAGACGATATCTGCAGACTTTGTTGCGAAGAAGAGGAAACAGCAGAACACATTTTGTGTTATTTTGATAGCCTCGTAAGACTTAGACTTCGGTACTTATCCACTGTCTATCCACTTATAACGGGATTAGGCAACAACTCTCCAAAGGACATAATGGCGTTCTTACTGCTACTCTTCTATGGAACTAAAATGGATATGTCAAAATAATTCTCAAAGGATGCAGTGACGTGATGACAAGTTTCCAACCCGATTTTAAAAACTAAATCTAAAAATCTAACCACTATATTGGGTTATCCGTTTTGTGCTCCGAAAATCAACATAAATGAAATACATTTGTGACTCAGGTTTTGATCAAATCTTTATTTCAGTTTATTTTTATACGTTACTTTTTGGTGTGGAATATAGATAAAAATCATTTATATGACTAATTTTAAGATTATTTTCGATAACTTATCGGTATATAGCTAATTTCACACGTTTTCATTTTCAAAGCGTCTATAGTTTAAGTATTCTCTAAATAAAGACGACTTGATCTTGATATGTGTAAATATTGACTTTAAACCTATCTAACTATTACTGTAAATGTTTGCAAAGATTTAGCTTACAACTTTATCACTTTATTTAAAAAATCTTCGTTTTTTCTTTCTACTTCTATCTTACATTTCAAAAATAGAAATATTGCAAAGTTTGAGATATATCGGACAATATAGTTTGGCCCTTATTTAAAATAAAAAAAATTATAAATTTTTGTTATTGAACCATTGTAGAATTTGAAACATATCAAACATTTATCTAAGTCGATCTAAATCTCAAATGAGTAAAAACCAAACAACTGTATAGTTTTTTATGATATGATCTAAATAAAAGATTTTAGTTATATTATGTTGAAGCTATTTGAGGCAGTCCACTTCAGCACTTTTACTCTTTCTTAACTCGAGGTATTTTTAAAATCCCTCTTTACGCCCTGACTGGATTATGGTTTATCACTTCATCAGACTAAGTAATAAGTAATTGACCTCAGATCTGCATACCTCCCCGAGGAGCCTGTAACCATTTTGAGATTTGATAACGCGGTGTTGGTAAGTCTGTCAGTTTTCGCAAATAATTTCAGGGCTCTATCTTTTATGTATTTTTTGATGGGATCAATCTTGAGGTCCCTGAGGATGTCATTTGTCCTAATGTACCATGGTACTTTGAAAAGTCATCTCAGAGCCTGGCTTTGTGCATTTTCTAGCTGGCGAATAGTAGTGTTTGAGGCTTTGCTAAACGCTACACATCCATATAGAAGTGACGGACGAATTATTTGGTTATATATCAGTTTTCTGTTCTTAACATTGAGATTTTCATTTCTGAATAGCGGTTGGAAGTAATGAAGAATTTCGGCACAGCTAATTCTTT